AGAAATCTCTCCATGTCATCGCGTCCAACGCAGCATCATCACCAATGGCATGACCAACCTCCTCCCACCAATCCCTCGCTCTGTCCTTCAGAAGATAGGAGGCAAGTCTGACCTTTTCCCCATCGGGACACCGACTCATACGGAATGCGTTGGCAACATCGACCAACCACCTGCTGCTAGCGATGGGGTCCCTAGCCCCATGATAATCTGGCGCTCCGCAAGCTCTTAACTCTCGAAATGTCATAGTACATGTCCCCATGAAAGCCATTATGTCGGTATGAAAGGCTCCCAGCCTCTCATCCAAGATCTCCAGTATACCCTCCTTGACCGTGCCAAAGATCACAGGAGTCTGATCTAAGATACTACACGTAACCTCGGCTGATATCAACTCTCTCATCCACTCCTCGAGCTGCTCGGCCCTGAACCCGAGCCTGATCCCTCTCCGGCCCTTGATCTGCCCACTGGTCTCTCTCGCAATGTCATCATGCTGAAAACATAACGCAATACTATCAGAATACTCATCACAGCGGAGGGATCATATGCGCACACTACAAGTTTCCCGGTCTCATCTCGGCCTTTCTCGGATTGAGTACGGATCCTCTACTTTCAGTAGTACGGGCCCATACTACCTTCCACATCTATCCGTACTTTCCTCAAGAACTGCTTCGACTCCACCAGGTCCCTTTTCTACTACTACTGCCCCCAACACTATCTCATCCTAGGCTTACCCTAGGGAAACCTCTAACTCAACTTATAGCAGTCCTCAGCTGCTGAAGGCCTCCTTGTGATGCCAATTAGCCATCACCTGAATACCATCACATGTGACGAGGCTCGGATAATCCTTCGAGTAAAAGACTCGTCCCTACAATGGTTGGACTCAGACAAGAGCTACGCAATAGGGCCAAATCCAGTACTATGAGATTATTCAACCCTGATCACATGTGACGTGACGTATTCACCTAATGGCTAACTCCCATCACTCAGAAACCCACAATGCACAAAGCAAGAAGCATTCGGACAAGGGAAAAATCTAACCATAACATACTCAACAATCATAATCTCATATCAAGAATCTGCACTAGCATGCGACATAAGCTCATAAACTCAGGCATAACCTAAACAGGCTATCCTACTACTATCTAATCAGCACTATCATGCAACTCAAAGCACATATAACAGGCACATAAGGCATCCTCCCTAGATCCTTAGTCCTAATCTAGCATGTTGTTCTACTAACTGATAAACATAACATAAACTTGTATGGGTATTTTGGGGTACTTACTTGAGCTCGGCTGATTACATGCACCACACCCTTTTCTCTTATCCAAAATCCTTTTCTTTCTAAATTCTTTTGCTTTACTAAAACTGTTTCTTTCTAAAAACTCTTTTTACAAAACTGTCTTTTTATTTTGAAAGCTTTTAGACCAATCCCTTAGTTTGAGTTTAGACACACCCGAGAGTATGACTGAATCCCTCAAACCAAGGCTCGGATACCAACTTATAACATCCCAAAAATCCGTACTAAAATTTTTTCTTTAAATCATTATCAAAGCCATATCCATAAAAACATATCATAAGTCATAACATAAATTCAGAGTAATAATTCCAAACATATTTCATTATCAGAGTAAAACATCATAGGCTGACTAATCAATGGTGTGTGCCATGCGATCACCCCGAGTTCTTCCCTCCGCTACCGGAAGTACCTGAAACCAAAACTGAAAACCATAAGCACGAAGCTTATTGAGTTCCCGAACCTACCACATACCCTGCACAAACACATACAACAAATACTGGGCCACGCCCTCTATTTCGGGCCTCGCTCCTACCTCGGGCCCTGCCCGCTACAACGGCCCCACCGCTCCGGGCCACGCCTGGCTTCGAGCCCCGCTCGGAATACATATCTGTTTCTTTTAGGCCACGCCTGTCTCTGGGCCCCGCCCGCTAACCACATATAGTACAAAATAGCATATAACACGTAAATGAACATACCCTACTGCATTCTTCTCCTTAGGCCTCGTCTGTCTTGGGCCTCGTCCCTATCCTGTCACTAGTGAGTCATGGAACCCCGTCCAAGGTCCTACGGTAAGTGAGATACGGGCCCCCGCCCACACTCACTCCATGCCTATCTCGGGCCTCGCCCATGCTCTGCTACTAATGAGATATGGAACACCATCCATACTTTGCTATTGGTGAGATATGGGACCTCGCCCACACTCACCTTCCTACCAGCCACATACATGCAACACACAGACAACAAGTATACTCTATCAGGCAAACCATTCCTTGGGCTCCCGCCCGACATCAGACCTTGGTCCGGAATATCATACTAGCAAACAGTGCCTAGGGCTAACCCCCCGGGTCTTCCTACTCATAACTACATGGGCTGGCATTATGGCCATAGACCCATTCACACAAAGGGAAACTCACTTGCATTGCTGAACTTGCTGATAACCCTCTGGCTACTGTCCGATAATTTTCTGAACCGCTGCTCCACTAGCTCCCGAGCTATCATATCAATATCATGTAACACTTAGTCCCAAACCGAACTCTTAGAAGCCATCTAAGTCAACTCTTGCCAAAGTCAAATTCTTGGTTAAAGTCAACCTTCTTGGCTGACTTTACTCGCCGAGTCGCCCCAAGACTCGTCGAGTCCATGCATTCAGAAACTCCCATGAAACGACTCAACTCGTCGAGTCACCTGAAGACTCTTCGAGTTCAACGATCTCTAAGTCCCTTCCTGCCCAACTCACTGAGTCACCACTCACCTCACCGATCTAAGCCTTAACCAGAAGGGGATAGTGCTTCACGACCTGACTCGCCGAGTCCATGACAATCTTCAACAGACTCGCCGAGTTGTTCTTCCAACTCGTTGAGTCCATGCCCATCTTCCTCCAACTCGCCGAGTTCACTCGTGTGACTCGCCGAGTCGCTTCAGTCTTAATCCATACAGTGGCTTTTCGAGCCATGCAGGGGCTCCAACTCATAGATCCACCCTTCCCAAGTCTATTCTTCATGTAAAGTTGCAAACTTTACGTGAAACCGAAGAGATATGAGCTTAAAACACTCTAGGGCTAGGTTTTGTTACCAAGGGGCTTCACCAACAACTTATTGGCATAAACTTTATGGCTTTCTGGATCCTTAATAGCCTAGATCTGAGGTAGCAACCTCAGATCTACTCCAAACTCGGAATAAACCTCCTCCATACTCAAAAATGCCCAAAACTCAACCATAAGATAGATCTAAATGCAATAGGGTCACCTTATTACCATAGAGGATCTGAAAAGCCACACCAACTCTGGATCTAAAGTCAATCCTTGAATCACCAAAGGTTCCCTTCCTCCTTCTTCCTTCAAATCACCCAAAATGGCAAGAAAGCTTGAATGTGCAAAAAAAAAAAAATGGAGGCTTAGGGTTTCGTGTTCTGGATAAGAGAGGCTACAGAGAACCATAAGGGAGAGAATGAGATGATTATATAGTGTACAAAGCCCTGGACTTGGGTTTCCCAATCCAGACCAGACTCGCCGAGTCGATTCTCCGACTCGTCGAGTCGGTCACTTACTCTTCGACCCGGAGCTCGCTCAGACTCGTCGAGTTCCACCCTGGACTCGACAAGTTGACCCCCCTTTGACCTAGGGTTTTCCTTTCCTTTCTTGGTCTTTCTGATTATGGGTGTTACATTACTATTTGTTTTTGTTGCGCGCTTGGACTCTGTCTTACCTAAAAAAACTATTTTGCCATTGATTTTTTAATTTATTTAAATAAACACACACTCGACTCTACTTCCACCTCACTTTACCTTACCTTACCTACCCCAACTTATTTAAACAAATTAAAAAATCAAATGCAAAATAGCATTTTTATGTAAGAAATAAACCAAACACACAATAAAAACAAACTGTAGAAACCTTCCAAATTGAAAAAATAAACTAGAGACTAAACATACAAATTATTCCAAACCATAGGGATCATTTCTATAATTTACTCAAGAAATAAAATATCATTAAAAATAAATATGATGGGTTATGTGTAATTAGTTTATTCCAAATAAAATTACTCGGAAAAAATTCTTTATAATATTTAGAATTTGTGAGGCATCGCTTTGTTTACCCCAATGGAATGATAGCAAAGTCTTTTGACTTCTTGCAGGTTGAAGGTCTCTCTCTCTCTCTCTCTCTCTCTCTCTCTCTCTCTCTCTCTCTCTCTCTGACACTTCACATGTTCATGCAGACAAACCGAGACCCACATCAAAACAATCATCCCCACTGCCCACATGGAAGTGTGAACAAAGACATTTGCTAATACGTTGGATTGTTGTTGTATTAACCCTTGTTTATTTATTACTCCGTACATCCTCCATGAAACCTCCTTTCAATACTATAACTAACCCACCACACTTTTACCATCTACATTCACATATCTCTGTCGAATCCTTAAGAAATCAACAACACTTATCTGGAAACTTTGTTCTTTTGTGCTGTAAAACTATTTGATTTTTCAACATTCATAAACAAGATTAAGGAGCAGGAGTTTCTTAAGAAACCCCCAAAAGACGAAGCTCTTTGGGTACCGTGCTTTTGTTCGCATTAGCAAAACTTCGTTGTTCTTTGGTGGGCAATGTTGGAAATTTATTGGATCTGAAGTCTGTTTAGCTGGGTTGTAAGGTTCTTTAGGCCACATTTTATGGAACCTTATCTTGATTTCTGATTTCTGAGATTTGTTTCGAGATTGCGGGAATAAAGGGTAATGAATCAGTTGTAAATCTATGAGATAGAGAGCGAAAAAAAAAATTAGAATTAGGGTTTTGTTGCCTTCCAACTGTTTGTGGTTTTGTCTGAGAGAAACAAAGAAAAAAGTTGACTTTTGGCTTTCAGCGATTGATGATCTTCTCATCAACCTAATTGATCGGCGCTTGAAGTTTCTTCTTATGCTGCAAAGCTTATAAACATTGAGATTTTTTGTTAGATCATCTTGCTCAGAAGCTCAAGTAAAGCATAAAAATGGCTGCAAAGCTTTTGCATTCACTAGCAGATGACAACCCAGATCTGCAAAAGCAAATAGGATGTATGACCGGTGTCTTTCACATCTTTGATCGCCACCATATTGTTCCCGGAAGACGCTTTCCCGGCCACAGCCCTAAGAGATTCCCTCCTGGTAATCCTCCGCTTTTATAAATTCCTTCTTATTACGTTTATAATCGAACAACATGCTGGTGATATACTCATGTTAACGATTAAAACCTAAGAAATTTTATCGATCTCAATCGATTTTCTAAAACAATTGAATCGATTTCTTCAAATATCGTGAAACTTGTGTATCTTCGTTATCGTTTTCATTTCGAAATCTCCAAAGTGTTTACCTATCATGTCATGTCTCTAAACATCATACTTTATATGCAGGTTCCCCGCAGTTCGACAATGGAACCACTGAAAGCGAGTCAAGCAACTCATACCAGAGACCATACATTTCGGTATATTGTCGTCTTTTCTTCATTTTCCAATTATAATTCGTTAATAATCTCTACATCTTTGTATAAACTTAAGTCCAATAATGAATACTCAACACTTGTTACTTCAGGAAAAACATTCAAACAAGATTGTACAAGACAAACACAGAGTATCAACAGAATCATCACGAGACTCTTTCTCATCAATGTCTCGATCATCTTCTTTCTCCTCTATAGACTGCAACATCAATCGAACCACAACAACACATCCAGAACCAGATCAGATCGTGTTCCCAGAAACCCCTTCAAGAGACACCCCAAGGCCCCAATTGTGTGGGTCCCGTCAGAGTGTTGACCTTCGGGACGTGGTCAAAGACTCCATGTACAGATCACAAACACCTGAACATAATCATCGAGAATTCCAAGAACCAAATTGGTATTACAATGAACCTCGAGAACTTTCTAGATCAAAATCTTATCAATTTAGAGATGGATCGAGTTATCATCCAGCACCCAAAGATTGCCCCCGGTTTTCTTATGATGGAAGGGAAACAAATCGTTTATTGTTTCAATCAAAAACCATGAATTTGAATTCAAATTCAAATTCAAAGCAAGTGGAAGATCTTCCAAGACTTTCTTTAGATAGTAGAGAGAGTTCAACACGTAGTCTCAATACAGTTTCAAGAAACCCAACTCCTAGTGTTGTAGCCAAGTTGATGGGATTGGATACTTTGCCTGATTCCGGTTCCGGTTCTGGTTCCGGTTCTGGTTCCGGTTCCGGTTCCACCAAAGAATTGGGATTGGGCCCGATTAGAACAACCCCAGTTGAGTCTTTAAAAGGAAGTGATTATTTTGGGCCTATAAAAATGCAAAATTTTTCAAGAACCACATTGAAAGAACCAACATCTCCATCATGGAAGAATGCTGACATGAAACCGAGTTCAAGATTCCCGATGGAACCGGCTCCATGGAAGCAACGGGATGGTGGGGCCCGGAGTCCTCAGAGGGCGGGATCTCGTGTGATGAAATCACCAACCAAGATTCAGAGCCCTTACTCTTCTGTTTATGGTGAAGTTGATAAAAGATTGAAAGATCTTCAGTTTACACAATCGGGAAAGGATCTGAGAGCTCTTAAGCAGATTCTAGAAGCAATGCAGTCAATGGAATCACGGAAAGAAGGAAACCAGTCAATGGAATCCCGGAAAGAAGGAACACAAGTTATGGTGAAACGACATTCTGTTTCCAATTCTACTCAGAATGAAAGATTTTCAGATCGTGGAAGATCTCATCAAAACCCTTATGATTCCCCCATTGTGATTATGAAACCAGGAAAGCTTGTTGAAAGATCGGGTATGCATGTTGCAGAATTCCCCATTAGTATTCCTAAAACTACACGAAGAGAGAATGGTGGTGGAAGACATACAATTACAAATACAAATACAAATACAAATACAAATACAAAGACTCCAACAAAACAACAAAATTCGGTGACAAATTCCGGGAAGATTTCCGGGGCTATCAGCCCGAGATTACAACAGAAACGGGCTGAGTTGGAGCGGCGATCTCGGCCGCCAACGCCTCCGGTGGCGGATTCCGGTAAGTCAAAGAAACAGTTGACCAGACAGCTGTCGGATACGACTTCACCCGGTGGAAGAAGGAGGCCGAAATATTCAAACATTCAACAAAGTGATGATCAGTACCATGGTCAAATGTCTCAAGAAGTGGTCAACACTCCTGAATTTTCTCAACAAATTGATAACATGCAGAGTCCTAGCTCAATACAAGAGGTGGGTTCTTGTTTGTTATCTTCTATTATTATTACATATATTAAACTTGAAAAATATCTGATTTTTACATTTTTTATTTTTTGTTTCTAGAAATCGAGTTTGATCCAGAGAGAGGATGAATCACATGATCCAGAATATCCAAGTCCGGTTTCTGTTCTTGATGATGCTGTTTATATGGATGATTCCCCTTCTCCTGTGAAACATATGCTCAAGACTTTGAAAGGTAATTACTAATTCCATTAAGCCATTTTTTTTTTTTTCGTCTTAATCCAGCTATGATTTCATGAACTAACTCTAGCTTCAAATTCTCACAGATGATGCTACTACTGAAGCACCTAATGAGAAGTTCATCAAGAATAAACGGGAAAAACCGGACGATAATACCCTTCCAGACATAACATGTTCTTCGGGTATCAGTATCACATCCGAAATAAACCGAAAAAAGCTACAAAACATCGAACACTTGGTTCAAAAACTCACAAGGCTGAATTCAAGTCATGATGAAGCACACACAGATTACATTGCATCTTTATGTGAAAACACAAAGCCTGATGACAGATACATCTCAGAGATCTTGTTAGCTTCTGGGCTTCTTTTAAGAGACCTCAAGACTTTCCAGTTTCACTCTTCTGGACACCCGATTAACCCCGAGTTATATCTAGTATTGGAGCAAACCAAATTTAGCAATCTACCAAAAGACAATTGTACCCCTCTCAAGAAGGAAAAACTCCATAGGAAGCTTATCTTTGACACTGTGAATGAGGTTCTTACAGGGAAATTCGGGTTGTTGGTGCCTAGTGCTTCTTTTAAGATTGTGAAGAAGACATTGAATGGTCAGAAGCTTTTGAGGGATTTGTGTTTGGAGATAGAGGAGTTGCAGGTGAGAAAGAAGAGAGAAGATGTGAGTTTGGAGGAGGAAGATGATGGTTTTAAGAGTATTATGTGGGAGGAGGTGTTGAATAAGGCAGAAAGTTGGACGGATTATGATGGTGAATTGCCTGTTATTGCATTGGAAGTTGAAAGATTGATTTTTAAGGATTTGGTTAATGAAGTTGTTTTGGGGGAGGCTGCTGATGGTAGAAGAATAAAGCCTGGAAGACGTTGCAGACAGTTGTTTTCAAAGTAGTGGTTTTTATTTTTATTTTTATTTAAAAATATTGTATACCCTGTTGTTGAAATTTCGGTTTCTTTTTGGGTTTTGTTTTTAAGATACTTTATTGATTATATATATTCTACTTGGTTTTTATTTTTTTTTTGTATGTAAAAGTGTAAGAATCTATGCTCTGCGTAAGTGAAAAGGGGTATGAGTGTATGACACCCTTGTATCAATTTGAAGGCATATAACATTTATCTAAATGATTTCGTAGGTTGATGATGTTTTTTAATATTGTTTCACAACAAATAAATGATTGGTTAATTCATGTGCGTAATGAGGTTATACTGATGTTTGGTTCGTATTTTCTGTAGATGTGAATGACTGTATATTACTTATGGGCTTTGTGATATTCTGGTTTTAATTGTAACTTGTAAGTAATTATTTTCTTGACGGATATTTCTTGTGGGCTTCAATATATTCTAGGCACATCTTGAATCACCAAGCAAAGCCCAACCCAATAGGTAAGGATCCACCAAAGTTCATAACTATACAAGATTTGGATGTATATAACATTTTTAATACATTTTTTGTTTTCTTTCAGTTAATACTTTATAAAAGAATAAAGCATTTTATATAAATTCTAATGACTAATATGTTACAAATTTTGTAAAATTTTAATCATAATTTATTGGTACATATTATCATTGTGGTTATTACTCAAATGAATTGATACGAGTTATCATTTATCCATAACATGTAAAAAAGATAAAATAAAAGTATTATTTAAATGCATACGATGGCAATATAGTTTAAATATATCCGAAAATATGCTTTATTACATTTCTAATGGATATCAGTTAATTATATACATGGACTCCATAACATCCAAATACGGAGTATAAAAATATGTAAATTCTAAATTTGAAACCTAATATGATAGTAATTAGTAACCCATGATTTTTTCAGCTTATATATTATAATGGTATTATCTTTACAACATTGTCAATATATGTTTAAGAGACAATATGATAAAAAAAAATCGAAGATGAAAATCCATTCACGAATATTTAGCAATAGATATTAACATGAATGTTTGAACCCCGTAATATCATACCGATCTAAATGATTCAGCCGACTAAATTTTTTACAGGAAGGGAATGGTAAAACCCTTAGGACTTTGCCACGTAATATTTTTTGAAGAGACATGGGATTTTGTGTAGCCACATAGACATAGGTTAAAGGAAATGGTAGTACTTAAAATGTAAAAAGGTAAGGAGTGAGGGTTTGTTATTTTAATAAGATTTATTTTAAAAAAAAAAAAACTACAACCAATAAAAAATTAGCTATGCTCTCTCTCTCTCTCTCTCTCTCTCTCTCTCTCTCTCTCTCTCTCTCTCTCTCTCTCTCTCTCTCTCTCTCTCTCTCTCTCTCTCTCTCTCTCTCTCTCTCTCTAGCTCCTTGGCGAGCTATTCCTTAACACAAAGCAATGGGTTGTGCAGGGACTTTGTAGCGTGGCTGGTAGCAAGTGGTTTAGCGAACCACTCCTTCAAGCCTAAATGTGTGTGCCAATGCATTATATGGGTGTAGAAGTGATATAATATAAAATGGTTAATGTGAATAAATACTAACCCAAATGTTAAGCCTTAAACATATTTGTTTACTAACAATATTTCTATCAAGAACAAATATTTTTATAAAATGGTGAAACCGACAAACTTCAACGTCAAAAACTTATTTGGATCCATTGGAATGACGTTTGCTAAAAAAACACCACATTTATCATATAAAAACATTGTCTAGTTTTTCAATTACTTATATTTTTATTGGCAAATATTGCATTATTTTTGAAAATCTAATTATAAATAGTTAATGATAAGTTGCCTTTTGTTAGAAGGTGTCCATGAGGTGTTTATTTAACAACACCATATGTGATACAACGATTGAAAACATTCTTGGGCGACATATCCATTTTTTTCTATAAATCCTTGCATTTGTTTTGTCGAAGGTCTCCAACTCATGAACCCATCCTAGTCAGGTGAGGAGTAGGTGAGGTGATCAACTATGTAGTTGGTAAAATTTGGTCAAAGGGGCAAAAATGAAAATATATGATACCTTGTTTGATAATACCCTTGTGATATCTATTATTTTTCAATATAGAAATGTAAGAAAATACAAAAGACTTACCCTCCCATCTAATTAACATCCCTATTTGTCCCCAAAAACCCATTACATCATGTTATGTCAAATATCAGAGTATCAAAATAGATAAATACGAAAAGTGCTGAGAGTGAATGCTGCGTTATCAAGCCCGACCCTTCCCGTTAGTACCGGAAATACCTAAAAACACCCAAACAAACTGTAAGCAAGAGCTTAGTGAGTTTTCAAAAATATCACATAACATACAAGCACATAATACCATGCAACATATATAAAGTTGTCATGGGCTACCCCTAAGGTCTTTACCTGGAATGCCATGGGCTACCCCTATAGTATGATATCCAAGTACCATGGACTACCCCCATGGTCTTTACCTGGAATGCCATGGGCTACCCCCATGGTCTAATATCCAAGTGTCGTGGACTACCCTCATGGTCTTCACACAAGTGCCAAGGGTTATCCCCGGGGCTTTCATACAGTCAATGTATAATAACTAACAATCCACATATCATGTATTGGGACAACATTGGTGCCTTCAACCCATGGATATGGTGAGAAGACTCACCTTAGACTGCTGATAAGTATGCTACTCGGCTACTAGTCCGGTAATCTCACATTGAATATACACAAGATATCCTAATTAGAGTTATTCACAGACTTGAGACCTAGACCCAAAATCCTAAGTCCAGACTCCTCCAATGAGACCCGAAAGTCTTTCCTTTAATAATAGGCCTAACATCCAAGGTCCAAAACAATAATGGGCCATGAAGCTCAAAAGGCCCAACGATGCCACCTACAACCATAAAATAAGTTCAAAGGCCCAAACTCTACTAGGTCCAGGCCCAAGGTTAAACAAGGCCTAAATGGCTCAAGAGCCCATCGGAAGCCCAAAACCCACTGGAAGCATACGCCCAATGTACCTCTTCAGTACGCTTAGCGTACTAGGTCTTCAGGCGGTACACGCAGCGTACAAACAAGTATGCCCAACATACAAGTTGTTTTTGCACCAATTGCCATCAAGTGCTTAATACATGAAGTCTCAATGTCCAATTCCAGATTTGAGTAGATTAAGAGGTCCTAGGGCATAGAGTTGGCAACGTTATGCCCTTGCATGCCATATGTGAACCCAACACCCCTTTTAACCTATTAAGACCCCTTTTAATATCTTAAACTCATGCATGGAATCCATACCAAACCCTAACTTAAACTAGCAAAAACATAAGCAAGGTATGGACTTTTTACCCCCACAAGCTCCCTAAGAGGATCTAGATACAAGATCCAAAAGCTCTTCTTGTTGGGTTTTGAGCACTATAATATCCGTATGGTGCACATACAATCCTAATGCTTTGGATCTAAGTTTTCTCAAGTTATACATGCAATTTCATTTTATCCAAAGCATATACCCTAGCTAGCATGCAATTGGAGATATATAACATAAAATCTAGTTATATGAATACCTCTTAGTTGCAACTTGTAGTTCTTGTCCTTTCAAGAGCTTAGTAACTCAAGTGTGATACCTCTAATGTGTCACAAACACCAAAAAAAAAAATGGAGGAATATGAGAGAGAGGTTAGGAGGCACCAAAAACAACTAGGTTTTCTCTATGGAATAGAGTGCACAATTTTAGGAAGCTAGGGGTTACATTTATAGTGTAGAATTCTTATGGTTTCATACATAAAACCCTAATTTACCTAAACCTTTAGGTATTCCAGTGATCCATATGATAGGCCCTTTGGGCTAAATCTTCATGGACTCTCACATAGATTTAGCCCATCCCTAATCAACATGGATCATTAGCCCAAACTATAAGTATTACTGATATACCTAATCAGTCCTTGTAAGTCCCTAATTCGCCCGTGTATCAGTCAGATCCGTTTGATGGTGCGGAATCCCGATCAAACGGATGATGTCAGATAAAATAGAAGAGAATGAGAAGAAGAAAAAGATGAATCTCGATTGTATTAATGATATGAATTAAAGCTCCAGATACAAACGATTCACACACATACGCTCCTTATTTTCTCTAGCCGTAAACTCCTTAGGGTTCATAAATCTGTTCCTCACACCCTAACACCTATATTTATACAAGGGGAACTTGGGCTTGGTGGACATGGGCCGTAAATGGGTTTACGGCCGTAAGGTGTTTACGGCCGTAAACTCAACCGTAAACATGACCGTAAACTCCATAAATATTACAGAAAAATATAATTGCCCATAAAAGTAAAGTATAAACCATAATTTGACCCAACAATCTCCCCCTTGGTTTATAGCTTTCTTTTCTTAATGACCCAACAGTCCTCATAAATTTAATCAGTCTCTTTTTTATCACTAAATTAATTCCAAATTAATTCTTGATCAATACCAATTAAATGATATGATTTCTCAATTAATATATTATTCATACAATATATTAATAAATCACAAATAACCCCTTTCTTAAGTATCTTTCCTATCAAATTGCTTCGATGAAGGCAACCCAAAAGAACCATGTTATTATCGGGTAAAGTACATACCAATTATAGTTATGGGCTTAGACACCTAATCCAACACTTCTCACGACCAAGACAAGCTCACCATTTCCTTTTTCTTGCTAACACACCAAAAAGGGTTACTTTAGGCAATTTCAAGCTCAAATATCATTCTCAAAGATATCTAGGGTTTTAGGGACGTTTGAGGGTAATGGAGGCTGGTAAGAAAGGGGATCCAAGATCATAAATGAGCTAAAATAGGGCTGAAGTCCGATAATTAGGATTTTGGTCTTCGGCCTCGTACGCCCTGCGTACGAGCCTCAGTCACCCGATGCATGAGCTGGTGTATACTAAGTGTACATACATGTACGCCCAGCATACAGAGGGTCCTCAATTGCCAAATTTAAATACTTCAAGGGATTTAAACGAAATACTTGGATTTTGGATGTTACAACACTTCCTCATTTGAATTAGACTTCGTCTTCGAAGTCTCCTGATGTAAATAAATCTGGGTAATGCTCTCTCATCTTGTCCTCCGGCTCCCAGGTCCATTTGGATCCCATCTGGTGCTGCCATTGCACCTTCATTAGCTTCACTTTGTTACGAAGTGCTTTAGTTTTTCTATCCAGAACTGCAATGGGCTTCTCAACATAGTTCAGGCTCTCATCCACCTGAATATCATCCAACAAAATATCT